GATCCTTCAGGGTCATGAACGGCCGGAAGGCTTCATCTGTGACATGATCACGGTGTGTCGCCATCACCTCCTCCTCACTCGCTCCAGCATGTCTTTAAAAGAAATTGGACATAATTGCATGATAGAAAAAGAGGTATAATATATTGATGCGCATTTGAACTGCCGAAAAAGATACCTGATGAAAGATTGCAGGAGCTGCTTCTTTTGGATGACTTCTTCCAGTTTCTTTTCCAGGTGTTTCAAGTCGCTCCCACTCTTCACATGTTTGAGGTTTTCCTGTTAATTGGAACAGACCCATGTCAGATCACACATTGGAATTGACTCATGTTATCACAAATATGGATTTAATAAAACAAAACCAAAATATTCTGTGCAATAAGAGCGGAATTTACATCAAGACGGCTGTATGCGACTTCGAAGACCTGATTTAAATAAATTTCAGCACAATACAGCCCAAGGAGTCCTAGTGGTAACCTGTTACTAGACTATTTTTTAAAGCCTTGAATAAAATGCAATGAAGTTAATTGTGCATTTGTCTAAAGGAATTTAGGATTTGTCCCTTCAGTTGGCGTGGATTGGGCTTTTCCTCCCTTCGCTCTTTTCTTAATCATATTCCAGGATGAAATGGTCCTTGCGGTAAAAATTAGAGTTGTAACGATAGATCGATGCATCGATACCACTATCGATAGTTGGAGATATCTATGGTTTTTTCTACCATCGCCATGTATCGGCAAAATATTTTAAAGGGGAAATGTCCTATTGGATTAAGGCGAGTATAGTATAATACAGTTTGTCCGGACGGGGAAAGGAAGAAGCGGGGTAACCCGCATGGGCGTGCAGTTTCTTGTCACAATCAAATTTTGGGAATGCAGGGACTGACTATATGAAGGAAGGGAAGGGAAAAAAAAGCCGGATTGGAGACTGGAAGTGCGAAAGGAGGAGTACGATTTTACCTCCACGGAATTAAACGACACTCACTGAAAAATTTGGAAATTATGACGAGATGCAGCTGACGTTCGGAGGCTACGCAAGGGGACTGCACCCTTTACAACTTCACAAGTTCGTGAATTGGGCATACAGGAACATGTCATTCTTGAAGGAAAGTGTAGGAGTCAACATTATTGTTGGAGGATGATGGTTTTGCGGCTGTTGCTGTTTTTTTTATTTGTTGCTGAGTCAAAAGTCTCCTAAATCTCAATTGTAGGATCAAGGGAAGAGGATCTTTGCAGATTCTGTCACTGGGCTTTTCGAAGATCGAGCCGATGCGGAGTTAATTTGGGCCTTGTTTTGACAGGAATATATTTCCGGGAAATTCCTGTGAAAAATAATACGCACGTCTACTCGGGTCGTGCCCTCTTTTCATCTTAGGCATTTCGGCTCGCGCCAGCCAAGGTCTTGATCGATGTCCTCCCCCCCCCCCCCCCCCCCCCCAAGGGAACAGATTTTTTGTGGGACACCCGGGCGGTCGCGCGGAGCAGGGGGAGGAGCCCCTCTCGCCGGCGCGCCCATGGGCGAAGGCCATTTCCCGGTTCCTTACATAAGGCAAATTCACCAGGCGCCGAATTGAAGAAAACCGTTCGTGGGACCAGTGCCGTCTCGCTCGTATCCCTTCGAACACCGTCTGGAGAGCCCGTTTTTTGTGGTCGATCTGCTCGTATTTCGGGAGGTGGGCAGCGGAAAAGTGCGTGGAGGAACCGGGAATGCGTCGCACTTGAGGGAATGGCACCGCTCGGTGGCCGGGCGGACATGCACACTGTCGCACAAGGGCGTGTGCCTGGTATTTTTTATTATTATCGAGGAGTGAGTGGAGGGCCCCGGATCGGCAGTGACCCAACCACCACACGCGACTTCCACGGGAGAGCTAGAGCTCCTTGGTCCTGAAGTGTAATGAATCCCTCCCCTTGAACGATGTTCGGCCAGAGAGAAAGCTGCCGATGGAGAGATGAAGCGCACAGAGAAGGCCACGGAGGTCACGTATCCTCGGTGCGAGGACGAAATAGTCAGTTTTTTTTGGCAAAATCTTTTCATCTTCTCTGGTTCTCGGCGTGCCGAATCTATTTCGGATGTGGTCGGTCTCGCTTCCGTTCGCGACCGATCTGCGTCTCTCCCCTTCGTTTGGCCCCGCGTTCCAAGGAGCAATTTTCTGGGCCACACGTCACGGCCGACGACACGGCATTCTTCGCCCACGCATAGGCATTCGCGGCCGATCCAACGATCGTGCGCGCGTGTCGCGTTTTAATTCACACGCACAGGCCTACGGTTAGAACCTGCGATCGAATTCGAGACCGAGAACGTGACGACCATGATATCAATGAAGAAGAAGTATGAAGAGGTTCTTTGTTATTTTCTTTTAAATTAAACAGACGTGTCTTACGCGTAGAAAAATCGACAAAGGCATGGCCTCACACAGCCGATGCTCCCTTCCCAGAGAGTCTGAAGGTTGTTTTTTATTTCTCTCTCTCTCTTTGGATTGTCCAAATATTGCGCGGGGGAGGGGGGGGGGGGGTCTGGGTCTGTGAAGATCCCTGTTTCACACGGAATAGTTCATTTGGGACGACATCCAGTGAACTGCTTAAGAACCTACTAAGTATTCCTAATAGAGACAAATGCGTGGCACTCCCAGGGAATCCCGTGGAACCTTCCAGTGTTAAAACAGGGAGAAAAATAGATGAAAGGATCGTGTAATTCTGGATAATTCCATTCTTGATTGCTTTCTCGCTTGTGTTCACTTCCCGTTCCACGCGCTTCTCTTCTTTTTTTTTAGCGAAAGGCCTATAAAAATTGTAAAAAGTGAAATTTGGATGAGGAGTAGCAATGCTGTTTCGGTGGCTACGTCACAGGATGTGGGCCAATGAGGGCGGGTTGGGGAGGGGGAAAAGGAGATTCCATCCCAATACCAGTCAGTCTTCTCCTTATGAGAGTGATGAGAGTGTGGAACGTTCTGAGCCGGTTTTTCGCATAGGGTTTGTTTCTCTTCCTCATCACAGTTTTTCTTTTCCTCTTGCGTAGCCTTCCCTCTCCCATCTTTTTTCACCCCCAATTTCCCAAGTGATGGTAGGCTGGAGGGAAGGGCCCCCCCCCCCTTAGGGGGGTAGGAACTTGGGAATCGCCCCCCCTATGAAACATTTCTGTATCCGCTCCTGGATCTGACTTGCGAGACTTCTCCACTGAGTCGACCCGCGGGCCTTGTGGCCCGCCTAGACGACTTCTCTCCATCCCATGGAGGTAAAGCGGAGAAAGGAAATGAATTATTCCATGTGGAAGGGCCCGGCCTGGCCGCTTATGTACAAACCCATATCTCGATGGGGCCCCTATTCCGCCGTCCAACCAATCGAATCGCGTACAGCGTTAAAGCGACTTTGGCTGGTCCCTTGCGGTCATCGGTGGGAAAAAGGTGATGTATGAAGCCTTCTAGCCCTGATCCATTCCCGCAAGCGGACGCTTCTTCGTAAAGATTCTTGTTCTCTTATGAAAGGATTACTAAGTAAGTAAGCAGAAAAAAAGTCTTGAATAAGAAGGAATGGTGTTAAGATCTCTTACAAGAACTTAACAGAGATAAGAGACTCATTCGATTCTCGCTTTGCTTCTGTCTCCTTCCCAATGCCATCACTAATGTTGATGCGAGCCTGTTAATGCCTGGGATGACCGCGCTTCCTTCTCTTTTGAGAAGAGGGCTCTCATATTGGTTGGAGGGGAGGATAGGGGCCCCACCGCGCTGGGGGCTTTTTACATACGCGGACCCGCACGGACCTCTCCATGGAGTCCCAAGCCCAGTCGACTGGCGGGCTGCCTGCGCGCCCGCGGGCCGGCTCACTCATCTCCATCTAAGACTTCCAATTAGCTCGAGAATCATTGAACTCAGCAACTGATCTGCCTACCTATCGACATGCTTATGAATTAAATACGGCACACTAATTAGGCAGGGAGGAATAACTTCAAGTGACTTGTTTCATGATTAGAAACAAGACCCATCCTTCCATTAAGATGCTCAAAATCCTCTTGTACGTAGCAGAGCTTTTAACCTTCGCATTACTGGAAGTTGACTTGCTCAAAGAAATATGTTCAATTGTAATGGAAGCCCATTGTTTCTACCTGGAAAGTGGCACTAGTCAATATTTGCCCTTGCACTGTTGTAGATTTCTTGTCCTTGTCTTCATAAAATACCTCACAATACCATTATTTGGAGCTTATAGGGTTTAAAAGGAATTTGCTAAATTAGAATAAGAAGATGAAGTTTAAAATGATGTTGAAATTTGATTTCTATGCAAAGGAGGACCAACAGAAGGCAACAGGGAAGAAACTTTGAATGCATCATTCTCTCTGGTAGTGGCATTACCTTCCCCAGTTACATCATTCAGCATGGTTCAAGACTAATCAGGTAATTATTGTCATGAAAAGGTGGTATTGGTGAACCATGTTTTGCTATTACATATTTTGATGATTGCAGGTGAGATCCATCCAGCAGAATCTAACAACTCCCTGAATCAGAGTGTTTCTGATATCCAAGCTCTGCCATCTCCCATTTGTGTCATTTGATGAGGCACCATTTGGTAAGCAGTTCACATATTGTTTCCAGTGCATTCCATAAAATGCCTGAATTGATTCCCTGACTTTTCCTTCAATCTCCCCTAGGACACAAGGTACCAGTGCAGTTGGAACCCCCCCCCCCCCCACTGTGTGAACTGGAACGACCTGGAAGACTCAGTCCGAATCCTTCATTCTCCCCCGAAGAATTTCTCAAACTTCATGGAAATGTCATCATTCATAGTAGCACCTAACACTATGAGAAACACTCCACCTATTTGGGTAAGCCATGAAAGTACTGTATATCTTCGAAACAATGTCATCTGGATTTTAGAAATTGGTACAAAATTGGGGGGAAATCAGTAATCAAGAAAAATGTTCTTGGCAAGATTTTTCTGTTAATTCATTGAGTTCATGTTGCGCAATGTGACTTTTTGCAGCCATATTTTATGTTATTTGTTTCCTGACTTTTACAGATGGGTGAGGTGAGCTGTGAAAACTGTGGGATTTTTGATGATTCATCTGATGTCATTGGTAAGCCTTATGTGTAATCATAACCATTAGATCCTTTCATGTGATTGTATTGGTAGGAAATGCTATATTAATGGAAAAGACTGCCTTGTCGGCTACAAATGTGATATCTGCAGATTAAGAAGGGAAGAATTTGTGCTTTGATATTAAGAGAATAATTTCTCAATTGCTTGCCATTTTTTATTATTCTATAAACTCTGTAACACTCATATATTTATGAGAACAAAAAATGTTATTTTTAGTTATAAACCAGAAGGCCCTACTTGAGAATGGTCCTAAATATTGTGAAAATCACCAGTTGTGTGTCAATCCTGCTTAAAAAAAAAATATAATTCATGAATTTGATCCTATTTATATTGTTCTTTGAAGTGATGCATGATACTTTGACAATCCATGGGAAATTTCACTGATGCCTGTGATTTTAGGTTTCTGTTTTCATCCATTAAACTGGCTGCAAATTACATGTCTTTTTTTGCCTCTTTTTGACAAGGTGCAGCGATCCAATTATGCAGACCACAAAGTTATGGCTCTCAGAAATGCTGATTGGCTCACAATGGTGATTGATGGTATGGACCAAGTGAAAACAAACATAGCAAGATTTTCCAAGGAAGACAAACACACCACAAGGTTGCCGAAGATCATCACCCATATCACTGGTGATTATCATCCTTTTTTAATTTCCTTGGTTGTTTCTCTTCATGGTTATCAGAAAATGTTATGCAGAAATATGATGATGAGGAATTCCCATGAATTAAACCCCCCATACCTGCAATAGATGCAAATGACCCACCACCTACAGATGTAGTGATTTCTTATATGATATTCATTATCTGAATTTTCATGGAATGAAATTGGCCCGAACCCAACTTGATGCCAGGGGGTTTATTTTCCTGCAAAGATGGGCTATTGATTACACTCTCATGAAATGCCCTAACCTTATACATTAACAGCCATATTAAATTCTGACATGTCTTATGCTATGCAGGAGTCATGGTGTATACTGGCAAGGGTATTCGAGAATTCGCCTTTGTAGACATGGGGCAATTTCCACATGATTCAAATCTGTGTGTGGAAGTCATCCTTCGGTCACTCCTGCATGTGAAGATGGACTTGAAGAATAAACTATTCCTGCAGATGGATAACTGTGCTCGGGAGAACAAGAACAAGTTCATCTGTGCTCTCGCATATCTCCTGGTGGAGACTGGCATATTTGAAGAAGTCAGTTGATGTCTTCATTATACCCCTTGCTTGGAATGTAAACTTGAAGGTTATAACATATTGGACCGCATTAAATCAATATTATTACTTTGACTTCTCACCTGTAGCTTCTAAGGATGGCATTCCTTAAGGCTCCTGATGCCTTTACATTTTACTGAAGAAAAAAAATGGGTTAATTTTCATTATCTTGCAATGTGGAAGTTTATCTTTGCAAATCTTCCTTTGGGGTGGGGTCAAATTTTCACACAACAGTATTTAATTTGAGATGTAGTGGAACTCTTTTCAAGTAAGATTTCAGGTCTCTGTTAATAGGTGATTCATGTTTTCCTTTCCATCCCCAAGGTGGTTTTTAATTTCCACCCAGTTGGTCACACCCATGAAGACAGATCAGCTCTTCAGTTCCATTAACAGTTACCTGAGGACCAGAGACACTTGCACAGTAGATGGTGAGCTTCGAGATTCAAAGCTTTCAGGGTTCAAAGTATGCAATGAATGCAGCCAAATGTGACCTTGCAATGTGTCTTTCATATAATTCTTGCTTACTACTAAATAAAGGACTACTAAAGAAAGGACAGTGAGGAGGCTCCCAAGGGAGGAAGGATTCTGTTTGCAATTTTCTCCAGGATGGAGATGAGTCTAATTCTTAGTCAGTCATGTATTAAACCCCCCTACCAAACCTAACTCAAGCATTGGATCATGGCTTTGTCTTTTCTCACCTCCAGGAATTCCTCCGAGATAAGCAGAGGATGCATAAGGACTCTCTTCCAATGCTTCTCAGCAGGGATGCATTCACTATATCACGCTCTCCCATGAACATGAAGAATAGCGTCTACCAGGTCAGTTCTGTATGTCATGTAGGAGATGACTGAGTGAATGCCTTTAAGTGCCATCTAAAATTAAGAAATGATGTATAATTCCTAACTATCCCTCATCTGACAGATGATGATCTCATGGAGATGGAAGGTGGAGCTTGCCTACACCCAGCTTTAATCTTATTTTTCTGGAAAATGTGGAAGGTGGTGAACATCGTGCATCACATCTCATCTGAACTCACAACATGTTGAAGATTATGGAACATTTTGAACTTGTTTCAAGATATTGCAGTGTGACTCATATACATTTTTTGTTCTTCATTCTGTATGCATCATATAGTATAATACCTTGCATTGAGTTTGAGTTTGTAGTGAAAATCCTG